GTCCCAGAAGAGTCTGTAGATCTGGTCCACATGAGTCCAGATCTATCTGCAGTCCAGAGTCGTTTCAGTCAACTCAGCTGATCAGATGTTCAACAAACTTGACATCCTGTTCCAGACTGAAGGTGAACAGCAGTGGACCCAGACCTGGTCCTGCTGGTCCCCTGTCATGAGTGGACTTGTAGAACCTCCTGTCTCCTTAAAGTCATCTATCTTAAAGGACTCGGACCCATGTGGTCCCTGTCTAGACTCAAGATCTCATGGCAACACGAACTCACAGCTGTTCGGTTTCTCTCCGTCTGGTCCTGCAGGTTCGGATCTTTGCGGACTGCGAGGCGGGCCTGCTGGTGGAGCTGGTCCTGAAGCTGCAGCCTCAGGTCTACAGTCCAGGTGACTACATCTGTAAGAAAGGCGACATCGGCAGAGAGATGTACATCATCAAGGAGGGGAAGCTCGCCGTGGTCGCCGACGACGGGATCAAACAGTTTGTCGTCCTGAGTGACGGGAGCTACTTTGGCGAGATCAGCATCCTGGCGATCAAAGGTAAACCGAGTCCCTGTGGGGCTGGAGGTCTGACCCCCGACCTCCACCTTCATCCTGATCGTCTCCTAAAAGGTCGTATCCTCCGATCGTAGCTGATCGTAACCATTCAAGTTAACGTGTCGATTTACACCGACTTCTTTCAAAACGGGCGGAGACGAACAAGTGAAAGGTTTTTAGACGTCATTTCACCCCGATGACACCATGGATGAGGAGATGCTGATTCTAGAAGTCTAGAAGTAGATTTCCTCCTCTGGAAGGACACAATCTACTGCTTACATGTCTATGTGTCTGTCTTTAGAGAGACGACTCGTTATCGTGAGATTGACCGTGAATCTGAAGGTTATTGTGAGTTCTCGTGATTCCCACTGTCCGTTATCCTCCACGACATTCGCCTCACAAACAGATCTGGTAGGAACTGGTCCAAAGACGTTCAGGATGTGGTGAAATCAGGGGTTAGTGACATCATCAACCACAGTCGAAATGATAAGATCGTGAAAACACGACACTCTGAGTCCGAGTGCAGAAGAGCGTTCTTTCAGGTCTCGCCGTCACGTTCTGAAAAGGAACTTCTCCCTCTGTTGGTTCCTCGTCTGCTTTTCAATGTTCTCCGGCTCCGAGCTGGAGAGGAGGAGCAAGGAAAGTCCTCGCCATGATGGAGACCTGCTCTGTTTAAGACCTTTGACCTCAGAGCTGACAGAGTCATGGGAGCAGAACCAAAGATGTTGGATCCAAACCTGGAGGATCATCTGTGTCCTCTTCTTCTTCTTCTTCTTCTTCTTTTCTTCTAGGCAGTAAGGCGGGAAACAGGAGGACGGCGAACATCAGGAGCATCGGGTACTCTGACCTCTTCTGTCTGTCCAAAGACGACCTGATGGAGGCGCTGACGGAGTACCCTGATGCTAAAGCTCTGCTGGAGGAGAAGGGACGACAGATACTGATGAAGGACGGGCTGCTGGACCTGGAGGTAAGGTCACATGACCTGTCAGATCAAAAAGACCTGATAGGACACGGCTCAGTGCGCCATCATGTGACACAATCTGGAACTTCCTGATCTGAAGGTGTGCGACGCTCTTAACCCTGAAACTATCCGATCACAACATCCTCACGGAGAAGATCTAGCTCCACCTGCTGGTCGTTTAGATATTTGAGGTCGTTTTCTAAAACGAGGTCAGGTCTTCTCCTTCGGTGTTCATGTAGATTAACCCCGCCCACCGTCACTCTCACTCCTGTCCTCCAGGTGGCAGCACAGGGTCCTGACCCCAAAGAGATGGAGGAGAAGGTGGAGCACATGGCGAGCACTCTGGACGTCCTGCAGACGCGTTACGCTCGCCTGTTGGCCGAACACGAGGCCACGCACAGCAAACTGAAACACCGAGTCACCCGACTGGAGAGGAAGCTGAGTGAAGCCCCGCCCCCTTTAACCACCGAAACATGGGTGACCAAAGAAGAAGAAGAGGAGAGGAAGTAGATGGTTAAAAGGGTGTAAAAAAACATGAAAATAAAAGACGTGAATCTGAGCTGAAATAAAGATTTAATGAAACCTGTCCGTCTGTCAGTCCTCTTTTAACCTCTGAAGACCGAATATAAAAGCTTTTTATTCATTTATAATTAATATTATTGTCTTTATTTTTACAAAGTTTAACAAAGATGATGTTTCTGCCACAGAATTAAATACACAGATATAAAAGACCGTTAAAACCAGTTAAAAACGGTTAAAAACGGTTGAAAAGAACTAAAATCGCTCGTTTATGAGACTCTCAGGTTATGAATGAATCGTCCAGCTGACACGTCGGTCTGCCTGCGTGTCCCGGTGAATTGTGGGACTTGGAGTTTCTTTAAACCATCATGGTTTAATCCTCCCCGTCTGAGGAAGTCAAACTTGGACTACAAGTACCGGCATGCTCCGCGTCACACTGCGCATGACAACTGTGAGGAAGCTGACAGCAGCAGCAGCAGCAGCAGCAGACTGAGGTAAAGTGAGTCTAAAGAGAATTTCTCTGTTTTTAAAGTTAAACTTTGACTTTAGTCTCAACAGCAGCAGCAGGAGTTTAATCCCGAGTTTAATCCCGAGTTTAATCCTGGATCTGAAGTTCGTTTCCGGTTGTTTGTTCCGCTCGTTAGAAAGATTTCAGAGAGTTAGCTTCAGGAGTTAGCATGAGGGACAGACTGGACCGAACAGAACCACAGAGTTATAATACAGGTTTACAAAGGGTTTATAACAACAGGTTTAAACCGGTGTAAACTGGTTTAATCTGGTTTAAACCGGTTTAAACCGGTTTAAACAGTTTTACACAGGTGAACAGAGGTTTTACAGAGATGTTGTTCTTCTCGGTCTCTGCTGATGTGAATCTGTCTCTGACTCACATGGTTCTGACCCTGGACCAGCACAGACCTGAACCCGGACAGACTGAGAACACCTCAGACCTGAACCCCCATGACACTAGTCCAGAACCAAACGGGTCCAAAGTTCTCTCACCCTTCAGCCTCTCACAGGTCCTCCATTTTGTTTTGGTTACAGTTGCCATGGAGCCCGCCTGGCGACAGCAAGGCAGAGGGCGTGGCCGAGGTCATAATGGTGAGGGTGAAAGGTCACGACCCCCACAGAAGGAGAGACCGGGCGGCGCCGGTCGAGGAGGGAGGATGAAGACTGGAGCGACACCTGAACCTCCGCCAGGTGAGAACCACGCCTTATGATGACATCATCATCGCACAAGGCGTCTCCACGCTGAACAAGCTCCTCCCCCCTTTGATTGACAGGTACTTCCATCCAGTCAAAGTTTGAGGAGATCAGGAAGTCCAACCAGGCTGCTGCTCAGCGATTGGTGGAGAGCCAGCTTAGCTCCTCCTCCTCTGATGACGATGATGATGATGATGAAGATGATGAAGATGTAACCGTGGACCACAAGGATGGAAAGAGAGGGAGGATCCTGGAGTCGACCTTCACCACCTACACCGACCAGACAGGTGAGACAGGGCGGGTTACCGTGGCAACAGAAGGAGGACACATGGAGGACTCTTAAAGGGTCAGTCAGTGAGTTTAGAGGCTAACTGTGTGTGTGTGTCTGTGTGTGTGTCTCTCTCTCAGGTGGTGATGTCACAGGCCTGCTCAGGATTGGTCAGTACGTCAGTGACCTGTTCCAGTCTGGCGCCCTCACCTGTCTGATCTGCATCGCCTCGGTCAAGAGGACTCAGGCGGTGAGCGAAACACAGACCGAGACACAGACAGAGACACAGACCGAGACACAGACAGAGACACAGACAGAGACACAGACAGAGACACAGACAGAGACACAGACAGAGACACAGACAGAGACACAGACAGAGACACAGACACAGACAAAACATGGAAATAAAAACCGGAGTGACTCGTTAAAAATCAGTAATCAGTCACTTTGAGTTTCACACCTTCAGACGGACCAACAAGATCTCCTGAAGAACCTGTAGATGATGTTTTCTCTGGTCACTCAGTCTTTCAAAACCTTTGAATTGATCCCCTCATGGATCATTAACGCTCTCTCCCTCTCTCCCTCTCTCTCTCTCTCTCTCTCCCTCTCTCTCTCTCTCTCTCTCCCTCTCTCTCTCTCTCTCACTCTCTCTCCCTCTCTCTCTCTCTCTCTCTCGCCCTCTATCTCTCTCTCTCCCTCTCTCCGTCCGTCCAGGTGTGGAGCTGCTCCAGCTGTTTCTCCCTCTTCCACCTGCCCTGTATTCAGAAATGGGCCAAAGACTCCGCCTTCCTCGTCTCCTCCGTCACTGATGAAGACTTCGGTCAGAAACAGCACCCCTGGCCCTGGTGAGAAAGATTTTATTTCAAAACTAATAATTCCAGAGTCCCGGAAAGTCCTGGAAAAGTCCTGGGAATAAAGGTTGGTTTGAAAAAGTGGTAACTGAGTTCAGTTGTTTCTCTGGTGTCACAGTTTTTTTTTTAACTTGTTGAATTTTTGAAAAGTAAACTCGCCTGTTAAAACTCGTTTAAATCTCTCTGACTCGTTAAAATCTTTCTAATTCGTTAAAATCTCACTGACTCGTAAAAATCTCTCTAACTCGTAAAAATCTCTGCCTCATTAATATCTCTAACTCGTTAAAATCTCTCTGACTCATTAAAATCTCTAACTCGTTAAAATCTCTCTGACTTGTTAAAATATTTCTGACTCGTTAAAATCTCTCTGACTTGTTAAAATATTTCTGACTCGTTAAAATCTCTCTGACTCGTTAAAATCTCTCTGACTCGTTAAAATCTCTCTGACTCGTTAAAATCTCTCTGACTCGTTAAAATCTCTAACTCGTTAAAATCTCTCTGACTCGTTAAAATCTCTAACTCGTTAAAATCTCTCTGACCCGTTTAAATATTTCTAAGTCGTTAAAATCTCTCTGACTCGTTAAAATATTTCTGACTAGTTTAATCTCTCTGACTCGTTTAAATCTCTCTGACTCGTTAAAATCTTTAACTCGTTAAAATCTCTCTGACCCGTTTAAATATTTCTAAGTCGTTAAAATCTCTCTGACTCGTTAAAATATTTCTGACTCGTTAAAATCTCTCTGACTCGTTAAAATATTTCTGACTCGTTAAAATCTCTCTGACTCGTTAAAATATTTCTGACTCGTTAAAATCTCTAACTCGTTAAAATCTCTCTGACTCGTTAAAATATTTCTGACTAGTTAAATCTCTCTGACTCGTTAAAATATTTCTGACTCGTTAAAATCTCTAACTCGTTAAAATCTCTCTGACTCGTTAAAATATTTCTGACTAGTTTAATCTCTCTGACTCGTTAAAATATTTCTGACTCGTTAAAATCTCTAACTCGTTAAAATCTCTCTGACTCGTTATAATATTTCTGACTAGTTTAATCTCTCTGACTCGTTAAAATCTCTCTGACTCGTTAAAATATTTCTGACTAGTTTAATCTCTCTGACTCGTTAAAATCTCTCTGACTTGTTAAAATCTCTCTGACTCATTAAAATATTTCTGACTAGTTTAATCTCTCTGACTCGTTAAAATATTTCTGACTCGTTAAAATCTCTAACTCGTTAAAATCTCTCTGACTCGTTATAATATTTCTGACTAGTTTAATCTCTCTGACTCGTTAAAATCTCTCTTACTCGTTAAAATATTTCTGACTAGTTAAATCTCTCTGACTCGTTAAAATCTCTAACTCGTTAAAATCTCTCTGACTCGTTAAAATATTTCTGACTAGTTAAATCTCTCTGACTCGTTAAAATCTCTCTGACTCGTTAAAATCTCTAACTTGTTAAAATCTCTCTGACTTGTTAAAATATTTCTGACTTGTTAAAATCTCTCTGACTCGTTAAAATATTTCTGACTCGTTAAAATCTCTCTGACTTGTTAAAATCTCTCTGACTCGTTAAAATATTTCTGACTAGTTAAAATCTCTCTGACTTGTTAAAATCTCTCTGACTCGTTAAAATCTCTCTGACTCGTTAAAATCTCTCTGACTCGTTGTTGTTTTTGTGTTTTTTTCCGTCTGCAGCCCAAAGTGTCGAGCTGAATACCCGCCCTCTGCTAAACCTCACAGGTACGTCTGACTCTTCTGGTTTTTCAGCCTGTTATTGCAGCTCTTCTCCAGCAGGGGGCGCCACACTCACAGCTCAGACAGAGGGGGGGGGTCTGATGGAACAGCTTTAGTTTCTAATGTCGGCCATGATTACAGCTGATGAGTCCACCTAGTGATGAGGAAAGGAGAAAAGGAAGGAAGGAAGGACCCTAAGTCTATTTGCCTGTAAACACCTGTATGATGTCACACTGATGGGATTTGTAGTCCTACTGTGGTAGATTGTAGTTTTTACAGTGTGTGTGTATGTGTTGTGTTCAGGTACATGTGTTACTGTGGGAAACTACAGGATCCTCCAGCTGATCCCTGGTTGGCTCCTCACTCCTGCGGCGCCGTCTGTCAGAAGGAGCTCAGACCGACCTGTGGACACACCTGCCTGCTGCTCTGTCACCCTGGTAACCACACACACACACACACACACACACACAGAAATACACAGTTTGTGAATGGTGTGTGTGAGCTGATCCTGTTGTTTGTGTGTTTTCAGGTCCCTGCCCTCCGTGTCCAAAAATGGTGTCAGTTTCCTGTCTGTGTGGCAAAGCTAGGCCCCTCCCCCGTCGCTGTAGCAACAAGGTAGACTTTTATAAACACACCTGAACCAATCACAGCGCAGGGTGGATGAGTGATATACTGTGAGGACCAATCAGACGGCTGTGCTTCTAACTGATGTGTGTGTGTGTGTGTGTGTGTGTGTGTGTGTGTGTGTGTGTCTGTCCAGGCCTGGTCCTGTCAGCAGCAGTGCAACAAGTTGTTACCCTGCAAGCAGCACACCTGTACACAGCCCTGCCACACAGGTAACACACACTCACACACACACACACACACACATACACACACACACCACTGAACAGAACTGATGTAAGAAGCTGTGGAGTGTGTTTACATTTTTTGTCAAGCTTCACATCTCTACCTGTGTGTGTGTGTGTGTGTGTGTGTGTGTGTGTGTGTGTGTGTGTCAGAATGCTCTCCGTGTCCCAAAGTCAGTGTTCAGAGGTGTGTGTGTGGTCGGGAGAAAGCAGAGAGACCGTGTGCCGACGCAACGTGGAACTGTCAACAGGTACAACTACACGACAACTACACAACAGCGACACAACAATCACACAATAACGACACAACAATCACACAATAACTACACAATAACTACACAACAACTACACAACAACGACACAACAACGACGCGACAACTACACGACAACGACACAACAACTACACAACAACTACACAAAAACTACACAACAACTACACAACAACGACACAACAACGACACAACAACGACACAACAATCACACAATAACGACACAACAATCACACAATAACTACACGACAACTACACAACTACACAACAATCACACAATAACTACACAACAACTACACAACAACTACACAACAACTACACAACAACGACACAACAACGACGCGACAACTACACAACAACTACACAACAACTACACGACAACTACACAATAACTACACAACAACTACACAACAACGACACAACAATCACACAATAACTACACGACAACGACACAACAACTACACAACAACTACACAACAACGACACAACAACTACACAACAACGACACAACAACTACACAACAACTACACAACAACTACACAATAACTACACAACAACTACACAACAACTACACAATAACTACACAACAACTACACAACAACTACACAATAGCTACACAAAGGCTACCAAATACTTGCACACTAACTACACACTCAGTCCTGTGTGTCTCTGTGTTGTTGTTTGTTACTCGCTGTTTTCATTCCTCCTTTGTTGTGCCCCCCCCCCCCCCCCCTCCCGTAGGTGTGCGGCGCCCCCCTGTCCTGTGGGAACCACACCTGTGAGGTCATCTGTCATGATGGCGTCTGTCCTCCGTGTCCTCGCTCCGTCAGCAGATCCTGTCCCTGTGGAAAGACCAGTGAGACCAGCAGAGACCACCTGATCCACTTTGACTCTGAACCCAGACCACCTGACCGGACTGACGTGTGTGTGTGTGTGTGTGTGTGTGTGTGTGTGTGTTTAGAGTCGTCCCTGCCGTGCACGGTGGAAGTGATGCCGTGTGGCGACACCTGTGAGCGCCGCCTGTCGTGTGGGAAACACACCTGTTCAATGAGATGTCACCGTGGAGGCTGTGAGACGTGTAGACAGGTCACACACTTACACACACACTCATACTCACACTTGTATACTAACAGAGACCCTGTACTCGGGGGGGTTTGAGGGTCCTGGTCCTGGTTCAGGTCCTGGTCCTGGTTCACTGTGGTTCTTGAAGACTCCTCGTCTCCATGAAGATGAACTGTTCCTCTCTGCTCTGTGTGTGTCCCTGTGTGTGTGTGTTTTGTATGTTGTGTGTGTCCCTGTGTGTGTGTGTTTTGTATGTTGTTGTGTGTCCCTGTGTGTGTGTGTTTTGTACGTTGTGTGTCCCTGTGTGTGTGTCCCTGTGTGTGTGTGTTTTGTATGTTGTGTGTGTGTCCCTGTGTGTGTGTGTCCCTGTGTGTGTGTGTGTGTCCCTGTGTGTGTTTTGTGTGTGTGTCCCTGTGTGTTGTGTGTTGTGTGTCCCCCCCCATCAGGAGGTGGAGAAGGAGTGCAGGTGCGGTAAATACAGGAAGTTGATGCCGTGTCACCGAGAGTACCTGTGTGACTCCAAGTGTCCGAAAACCCGCAGCTGTCAGAGACACACGTGTCGGAGGAAGGTCAGTGTCTCCTCCTCCTCCTCGTCGTCACCTTCATCCCCCCCCTCTATGATGCGTAAATGTCGCCCTGATCAAATCTCCGCCGTATCAAAGGTTGGCGTTGTTTTGGCGCTCTGACTCACTGATCTGATAAGATCCTTTAAAGGTTCATTCCGCTGTTTTCAGCTCGAATGTCACACCTGTGATCCAAAGAGGAGTGGTGCATGATGGGAAATCCTCATTTATATGTGTATCACAGTATCATAGATTTGATTAACCCTGTTCCCATGATGCCTTGTGTTTCAGTGTTGCCCCGGTAACTGTCCTCCATGTGATCAGAGCTGCGGTCGGACTCTGGGCTGCCGGAACCACAAGTGTCCGTCAGGCTGTCACCAAGGTAACGCCGTGAGTCAGCTGACTGACTGACTGCAGCCGTTCTTACTGACTGTTTTTATTTTATTTAAACTTCAAATCTGATTTTTTTTTTTCCCCTAAAGATAAAATTTTAATGTTTTTATTTAGATTTTTTTACTTTGAACATTTTTGTGACTTTAAAAAACTTTAAAAAACTTAAAAAAAACCTGATTTTTCATGAAGAACTTTTTCCTTTTATACTTTTGTTTCCACAAAAACTCAAACCACTTTATCAGAAAACTCTTATATTTCCTCTCTAATGTAACCCTCATCACTCGCCGTATAATAACCTTATTAAAGCCTCCCTGTTAAACCTCTGCTGACACATCCAGACCATCAACATTCACTTTAATTTAATTTAATTTAATTCATTGTAATTTAATTTAATTCACTTTAATTTAATTCACTTTAATTTAATTTAATTTAATTCACTTTAATTTAATTTAATTTAATTTAACTTAATTTAATTTAATTCACTTTAATTTAATTTAATTTAATTCACTTTAATTTAATTTAATTTAATTCACTTTAATTTAATTTAACTTAATTTAATTTAATTCACTTTAATTTAATTTAATTCACTTTAATTTAATTTAATTCACTTTAATTTAATTTAATTTAATTTAATTTAATTCACTTTAATTTAATTTAATTTAATTTAATTAACCATCCTGACTCTCAAAATCTGAATTTTTTTTCGTCTTTATTTTTAATATTAACTTTAGATAATATCTATAATAATATATATAAATATAATATATATACATATATTTTATTTATATTAGTATGGATGTCGTCATGGTGTGGAAAAGGTACAGATACTGAACTTATACCAAACCAGAACCAGGTCCAGTGGTTCCCTGTTGTTAGACTGACACAGTAGATCCCCTTCATCTCCACAGGGGGGCAGTATCAGCGCGTCATGTGTGTCTCCTCTTCCTCCTCCTCCTCACAGTGAGAACTTCAGCTTCATTCTGCTGATCAATAATTATATTTATTAAGAATTAATTTTCCTTGATATCGATATGAAACACGATCAACATTCTTTTCCGATATTCTTTTCCGATATTCGTCATTTTAAAGTAAAAAAGTTTGTTCTCCAGGACTTCTCTGGTTCAGAGCAAACCTGTCCTTCTCTCCTCCTCTCCTTCTCCTCTCCTCTCCTCTCTCCTCTCCTCTTCTCCTCTCTCCTCTCTCCTCTCCTCTTCTCCTCCTTCCTCCTTCATTAATTCTCAACTTCATGATGAAAACATCTCGGTGACAAAGACTCAAAACACACACTGAACACACACACACACACACACACAGGAAGTCACATCACATCAGAGTCGGTCCGATCGGTTCTGATTTGTTGACTGAGTCTCAGCTGGTAGAGGAGGGTCAAAGGTCAAACCCAGGAAAACACAGACCCAGACCAACACCTGCTGTGTGTGTGTGTGTGTGTGTGTGTGTGAGGGGGCGGGGTGACATTTGTTCCAGCTGATAACACTGAACAGACACACACACACACACACACACACACACACACAGACACAGAATTGATGTTGGAAAATGTTGACCTCTGCTTCCTGTCAGAACTCCTCATGATTAATCTGTTTCATTACAGACAAGAGTGTGTGTGTGTCTGTGTGTGTGTGTGTGTGTGTGTGTGTGTGTGTGTGTGTGTGTATATGTCTGTGTGTGTGTGTGTGTGTGTGTGTGTTATTCTCTGATTGGACGATAATAGATAATGAATGTGTCCGTCTGCGTGCTGATTGGCTGCTCTGACCTTTCAGGGGGAACAGTTAGAAGGTCGCACCGTCACCGTCACCGTCAGCTCAGATAAGAGTGTGTGTGTGTGTGCGTGTGTGTGTGGACTCACATTAAGTCTGTGATTTTTGTTTTTCTAATATTTGACCTTTGACCTGAGGAGGCTTTTAAAACTACAGTTCCCATGAGTCTGTGCTCCACCTACTGTGTGTAATCCTGTCGACTTTGGTGATTTTCAAACAGAGGTCATGACCCCGTGTGTCTCACCTGTCCCTCAGGTAGCTGCTATCCCTGTCCGGAGACGGTGGAGGTCAGGTGTTCCTGCGGTTCCACGGTCCTGACGGTCCCCTGTGGACGAGAGCGGACCACCAAACCCCCCCGCTGTAAGGAGCCCTGCAGGTACGCCCCATCAGGACCGCCATCAGGACCGCCATCAGGACCGCCACACCTGTGTACCTGTCTTACTGAAACCCTCACTGACTCTCTCTCTCTCTCTCTCTCTCTCTCTCCCCCCCAGGTGTCCTCCCACCTGTCACCACCCCTCCAGAGAAACCCACCGGTGTCACCCCGGACCCTGCCGCCCCTGTAAGCAGACCTGCCTGCTGCTGCTGCCGGGCTGCACACACACCTGCCCTGAACCCTGCCATGACCTGGTGCTGGTCAAGTCTCAACAGGTGAGCTTACAGGAAGTGATTCTTTTTCTTTGTACGATGGTAGGGGAAGGCCCCGCCCTCCTTCAACTCTGATTGGCTAGAAGTGCTGGGTTCTGATTGGTTATTCCTGATGGACTTAAAACGTCATCGTCTGTCAGGTTAGGAGGTTCAGAGAAAACATAAATATTTAAAAATATTTAAAAAAAAATTTTTTTAACTAAAAATATTAAAAAATATAATATTAAAAATGATAATTAAAAAAAATAATAAAAGGTTAAGAGATTGTGGGAAAAAAATAATAAACAAATAAAAAATTTATCAAATAATTAAAATTATTTAAAAAGGAGATTAAGAAAAAAAAGTTAAAAATCAAAAAGTATTTAAAAATATAAAAAAAAAAAAAAAAAATCAACTCTCTTACTTTGTTAAAGCGGTTTACCTGTCCAGCAGAAAGGTTATAGGGTCACCAAGATCCTCAAGCGTCCCCCATGGTTTATGTTGACCCGGCTTTTTAGCTCTTGTCCGGTCTACCTCCGTTTTAAGCGCCCGTTATTCCTCCAGAGTCTCCGGTATTTACTTTGTTTTCTTGCTTGTGTCGGCAGTCGTGGCCAAAGGAGGATTCAGACAATTTTCCGAACTTTCTGGTTGGTTTCTACTGTCCGATATTGTAGCACGCTAACTTTGTTTGGGCTCCTGAACGACACGGGGGAGCATGTGCTTCTTTAACGGATCCCTGACTACCCCACCTTTAAACTGGACCAACACCGTCAGCTCTGACAGATGACGGTAATCAGCTGATCTGTTGGTCCTCCTTATTTTATCTCAGAGATGAGTGAACGTTCCTGTTTCCTGTTTCCTGTCTGATAAAATCGTCTAAATATAACTTCGGGAT